TTGTTTTCCTCTATTTCTTTGCATTGATCACTGAGGAAGGCTTTCTTATCTCTCCTTGCTATTCTTTGGAACTCTGCATTCAAATGGGAATATCTTTCCTTTTCTCCTTTGCCTTTCGCTTCTCTTCTTTTCACGCTATTTGTAAGGCCTCTTCAGACAGCCATTTTGCTTTTTTGCATTTCTTTTTCTTGGGGATGGTCTTGATCATCAGTGTCACAAACCTCTGTCCATAGTTCTTCAGGCACCCTGTCTATGAGATCTAGTCCCTTAAATCTATTTCTCACTTCCACTGTATAATCATAAGGGATTTGATTTAGGTCATACCTGAATGGTCTAGTGGTTTTTCCCACTTTCTTCAATTTAAGTCTGAATTTGGCAATAAGGAGTTCATGATCTGAGTCACAGTCAGCTCCTGGTCTTGTTTTTACTGACTGTATAGAGCTTTACCATCTTTGGCTGCAAAGAATATAATCAATCTGATTTCGGTGTTGACCATCTAGTGATGTCCATGTGTAGAGTCTTCTCTTGTGTTGTTGGAAGAGAGTGTTTGCTATGACCAGTGCATTCTCTTGGCAAAGCTTTGTTAGCCTTTTGCCCTGCTTCATTTTGTACTCTTAGGCCAAACTTGCCTATTACTCACGGTGTTTCTTGACTTCCTCCTTTTGCATTCCAGTCCCCTATAATGAAAAGGACATCTTTTTGCGGTGTTAGTTCTAAAAGGTCTTGTAGGTCTTCATAGAACCATTCAACTTCAGCTTCTTCAGCATTACTGGTCAGGGACATAGATTAGAGAGGATCAAAATGAGCCCAGAGATCAATAAAGTTTTTAATATATTCAAGCTAGACATGAATGATATGGGTCTGATGTGGGTAGTAGCATTAAGAATGATGGGGAGATCCTAAACGTCCTGATAGAAATATTTAGGAGTTAGAATTAATATGACTTGATGACTACCTGAATGAAAGAAATTAAAGGGGAAAAAGGGTCCTCAGGTTTCTTATCTGGACAGAAATTTTCTAACCAGATCTTAAATCCTTGATTGTAAGATATGACTGTGCATAATTAATAAGTAAACCTATTCAGGAGCTTGATTCTTGGAAATGTTTTTATTAAGTAGGATCACAGGTGTGAAATATTAATCAAATTGAGAGAATAGTATTTACTTTAAAAAGAGATCAAATCAGTATCACAAATAAATGTCTAAATGCATTCTATATTGGTCTTGGTAAGAATATTGCAAATAAATTTTTTAAGTCTATAGAATCATATTCAGTAATTTGAAAGAAACCTGGGAAGTGCACTGTTTGGTTCCAAAAAGAGCAGTTTAAGTACTGTTATCCAAAATTGGACAGAATTTGCTTATTTGTGATATTCCATAATTTATGTTCATCCCTCTAATTTTATTCGGTTCAGAAACTCAAGTCAAGGAATCTTTTGAAGAAAAACAACAGTTGTGCACCAACCGGACCATCTAATTTAAAATCAAGCATTAGTAGTCAGCAAGTACTGCTTGAACACAGTTATGCCTTCAGGAATCCTATGGAAGCAAAAAAGAGGATAATTAAACTGGAAAAGGAGATAGCAAGCCTAAGAAGGAAAATGAAAACTTGCCTACAGAAAGAACGCAGAGCAACTCGAAGATGGATTAAAGCCGCGTGCTTGGTGAAGAATCTGGAAACAAATAACGTATTACCTAAGGGCACATCAGAACACATTTTACCAGCAGCCTTAAACAGTCTTCCTTTGGAAGATTTCAAGATTCTTGAACAAGATCAACAGGGTAAAACATTATCAGTTCTCTAAATCTGAAACAAACCAAGAGTACATTCATTTAGGATTTGTTACTCAAACTTCATTCTATTCACAGGTAAAAATATTTAAAGAAATTATTCCAAAATTGAGTAGTTAATAGAGTTTTACTTGAAGTAACAACATTACTGTGTAATTTATGAAGACTTGATTACAAAAAAAATGGAAAACTTTCTATGAAACATTTAAATGAGAATAGAAGTGCCTTATTGTGAGAATTATGTACTTAAAATTTTTGCTAGAAAATTGAATATTTGTAGACTGTTTTCTGTTTTTGTTTTTTTAACCTCTTTAAAGAACAGCCTATTACAAGTAATGTTTTTAATTTATATTATAAAAAGTTTTTTTCCAGTACCAAAGTTGGGATATTACATTCTAAGTAATTTGCCTAGTAGGGATTAACAGACATATAACAGTAAAACTGCTCAGTTTTTATTAATTAAATTATTGGCACTGTGATTGGGAAAAATTATAGGGAAAAGCCCCCTGAAATACAGGGCAAATTATTTTATTTAAACTTTCTATATCTTTTTATCAGTAAAATAAGCTAATCATGGCCTCCATCATAACAAAATTAGCTTTTGCAATAGCTTGTAAAATACTTTGAAAATAGTATTTTCAAATGTGAATGAAGTACCTTTGGGTTATCCAAGGATCTCAGACTACTAAAAACTGGTAACTGGTTATATTCACCTTCTGAGAAAATATGCTATGAAATAACACAGAGATTGAGATCTAGCTTTTACTTTAATTGAACACAAAGATATATGTATACCACATTTTTCTCATAATAAAAATACTACATTTTCAATTTCAAAGTTGATGCATTAATAGGCAAACATACTACAAAGTTTCATGTTAGAAATACTCCCTCTGTCTCTACATATATTGATACCAAAATTCTTAAGCTTTCTTTTTTTCCCATAAACCCATAATAGAATTGAACTATGGAAAAGTACTTACCAGATTGTATCTCCACAGCTTATAACTTAAAATGGAATCAATTTATCTTACATATCAGTTTGCTTTTTATCTCTTTTAGTAAGAGTAAAGTAGAGTAACCATACTGCATAAAGGAGATGAAGTGTAGATCTCTACAAAAATACATGTGTCTCTGATAAAGCTATACAGGTGCTAATTATTTTACAACAGAGAATATCAGAACTCTTCTTATAGTTTCCACTTGAACGATTAAAGGGTTTGCCTTATTTTGCCAGATAAATGTTTAGTAAGAACACTTCAAACAGATTTGGTCAAATCATATAAAAATTTATTAATGTACAGGCAGGTTAACCAGGCCTAACTTGAGTTTCTGACAACACCATATGAAAGTACCATATATATAATAATATATAATCACATATTACTGTAAATCTTTCCCATAAGGTAATGGCTCCTTGATGATAAAATTTTTACAACATTTGCTTAAATCCTAGCAACAGTCTTTTTACATTATTTGCACCGTTTCTTTTAATAAGGAGTGCCTCTCAAGCAACTAGAGTTACAAAAGCAATGGTAGGAAAGATCTCTTTTAGTTTTCATCAGGCACTTAAAGTAAATATTTAAGAAACTCCTTTTATGTATAGTGTAAACCTTATTAGTCATGTTATCTTTAATACTGGATGTCACTTCTTGGAATTGTCGTTTCATGTTTTCAACTGTCTTTATATGGTTTCAAACATAATCATCAACACTTACTGACCATTTCCATACTTCAAAATAAGTTGGGTAAATAATCATTTAAACATAAACTATGTTTTCCAAATATAAATCCTCATGTGGTTCACCACCCCTCCCAATACAAAGCAAAACACCGATGCAGGCTGCTTCCCATGCACAATAGTACCTTGATATCTTAATATAACATTTTTTAAATCACAAAAATAAACCATTATAAAATACAACAGACTTTTGGCAAATTAACTTGACTTCATTATTATTTGAGAGCCCTGAATAAACTACCACTCAGTAAATTTTTTGCTGTTTTTTTTCCCCATGTCATTTTCATGTTACTGGTCTGATAACATGCTACAAACTCTGTCTGCATCAAATTATTTTAACATATAGCCATCTACCTTAAAACTACTTTCATTCATAGAGAAAATTAAAGGAATTTAGTTTTACTTTAAGAATTAAAGGAATCTTTTTAAATCCTGTTTTCAGTTTGTTGATAAATTTATCACTTAGCCCACATATCATGAAACTCATCGAAACTGTAGTGGCCCTTTGTCCTGTGCTGTGCACATGTACCCTGTTTTATGTCCATCATTCATGCTGCGTCTAGTAGGCACTAACCTTTACAGAGAACCGGCCAAAGGCTAGGAATTTGATATAAAGTTGAACATGACATGAATTTTCTGCCCTTAAGTTGCTCAAAGTCTTTTGAGAGAAACAAATATTATTTATAATAATAGGATAAATGCTATGAAAGAGATGTGTGTGAAGTGCTTTGGTAAATGCCATTAAATTGGAATTTAATAAGAATATATAAACTTTAGACCTTTTTATAATAGTTTTCTTTTGAAATAAATGGATTTCTTCTTATAATGACTTACCAAAGGAGATTTTGTAGAACTGGGTTTTAAGGTGAATTACATAGTATTTATTTAATGAATTTTAAGACTTTTTCTCCCTTTAAAATGAACACTGAACAAATTTGTTGTTTATGATATCTTGTTAAAAGGAAAACATAACAAAGTAAAATATTATATCAAAGCCAAGATTGGAGTTTATTTGATGTTTGATATTTTTACTAAACAACAAGTGCTACTGTCACAAATTTTTTTAAAAATAGTTTTAACTCAGAGTCTTAAAGTTAACAATGCATTGTGGCAAAAAAAAAAAAACCACAATGCACTATGGCAACAGTTAGTTCTCTTACTTGTTCTTTACAAACATTCTTTGTGGTAGGTGGTGGTATCTACAATTTATAGATGAAGAAATCTTTGTTAATGTAATTATTCAGACATTTATAATGTATCTGGCCTCCAAATCCTATTCTCTGACCTCTACATTATAACCCTCTGTTAAATACATCATTAAAATAGGGCAGGTCATGTGTCTTAAAAAACAAAAAATATTGTGTGTATAAATATAGATAGATACATAGA